GGGTTCCGGGGGGGAGGGGGCGCGGTGATTGGAGGCGGAGGGAAGCCGGGCCGCCTCAGCCTGCGAGCCCCAGGCCGGTTACACTCGTTCCCGGGAGGCGCTGGGGACCGACCCGCCCCAGCCGCTTCCAGGAGAGCGCGGCCGACGGGCCGGGGACAGCGAGCCTCCGCCCCGGGCGCGGGCTCAGGCTGGGCCGGCCTCCTCTTACGCCCGCGGGACAAGGGCCCCCGATTGTACTGCGTGCAAAACAGAAGCGCTTCCCAGTCCTTCGTGCGCGGGGCCGACAGGCCTTCAATGCACGCGTTTTACAAACATCATGCGAGGAGCCCCTCCCCTTGCCGCCGCTCTCTCCAAAATGCGCGCAGCTAGCGGCCGGGCTCCCGCCGCCTCCCCCTGCTGGGCACTCGGGGCTGGGGACCCCCGTCTCCCGCGCCCCCTGCAGTGAGCGGGGCCATCCCCCGTGCCCGTGGCGTGCCCGGCCACCGAGGCGGTGTGACGACGTAGTGAAGTTGGGGAGCTAACGGGGCCCGGAGCGAAGGGCGGGCAGCAGCGCCCCGCCCCTTCCTCGGCTCCGCCGCCGCCGCGTGCATAGCGGACCCTGATGTGTGCACGCGGAGCGCGGGGGCCCGCGAGCACGTTTCTGATTAAGAGGGGGGAGGGCCGGGCATTTTGATCCCTGGGGCGGAGGGGAGCTCCGAGCGGGGCTTGGAGGGGGAGGAGGAGGGGGTCAGGGCGGGGGTGGATCTCCACCCGGTGTGCTTATTGCGGGCAAGCGGGGAGGGCGCCTCCAGCTGGGCGTTAAAAGCCTGCGAGGCTGGGGAAGCAGAGCCGGGAGGGAGGGGTCTGCGCCGCGAGAACCTGAGTAGGTTGAGCTGGGGATCGATCCCCAGCCTGCAGGCCCCGGGGCCGCCTCCATCCCCCCAGCTGAGATGGAGTTCGCGGGAAGGTCACGCAGCCTCCCTGGACTCCCGCACAGGCACAGCGCACAGCTTGTAACATTACAGCCCGGGCGGCGGATTCGGGAAGGAGAGGGAGGGCCGGGGAGCAGGTTGCAGTCAGCTCGCGTCCTCTGGAGGGTGCCCCGCGCGTCTCCAGAGAAGGTCCAGGCCTCCTGGTGCTGAAAGCCGGCGTCCCTCCACCACGGAAATGTTCGTGCGGAGAGACCGGTGGGGTGGGGGGCAGAGAAAGGGCAGGCGACCGGCCAGCTCCGACTCCCCCCAACTCTTCCCGCATCGATCGTCGTTGCAACCGCGCAGAATGGAGCCCAGATGGTTTGCAAAGCGCGCGCACAGAACCAGAATCCCTGGTTACGTCGCTGGTTCACTAGATGCAAAAAGGGTGGGGGTCGTGACAGAGTCTCTTGAACGGCAGCCCCCAGACGCCGCTAAGGGGGACATTAGCACCCTGTTGTGGAAGGTTTCGCCATTGCAATAGTTTGGCGTGAGGCGCTGGGGGTCTTGCCTCAGGGTAGCTGCTCTGATCAGTTACAGACCGATGACCACGTGGATTCCCTCCAGCGTTCGGATTGTTCGCTCTCTCGCTGATTTTTCTTTTGTATTTGCCTCCCCCCCCCCTTAATATGTATAACGGTCTGCAGAGGTAACAGGCAGGGGGCCGAGTGGCAGGATTTATATAACTATGTCGACAGGGTTTCTCTCGGTCCTGCACCCTGAGAAAACCAGCCAGCGAGGCTCTGAGTAGCCTTCCTCCCAGCACACCTCCGCCGGGCAGGGCGGGGCTCTGCAGGTCTGGGGGCAGCAGGGAGAAAGCCTGAGATTGTGTGAATCTCCAGACTCAGTCCTCTAGGCATAAAAACTTGAGAAGTCATCTAGTTTGTCTCTTTGCCTCTAGACTAGTCCAAAAGGAGCCAGAGCAAATCAGGATTGGGTTTATGGTTGCTGCTTTTAAGGCAGAAAAAATAACATTTGTTGAGTTCTGCCAGCATAAGTGGTTTATAGGCATTCAGTGCTCACCAACCCTCTGAGATAATTCTGATTTTATGAATAGGGAAACTGAGGCTTAGAGTAACACCCAAGGTCACACAATAGGCAGCAGGACCAAAACTCATTGGGTCTAGCACCAATATCCATTCACCATACTGCTGACCCCAAAAAGGCACACTATGCTGCCACACCGACTAGGATTACTACCATCAAAAAAGCAAAACGAGCCCAGCCAGGTGCTCAGGGATTGAGCGTTGACCTATGAACCAGGAGGTCACAGTTTGATTCTGGTCAGGGCACATGCCAGGGTTGTGGGCTCCATTCCCAGGGTGGGGCCAATAGGAGGCAGCCAATCAATGATTCTCTTTCATCATCAATGTTTCTCTCTCTCCCTCTCCCTTCCTCTCTGAATCATAAAAATTTTTTTTTATTTTTAAAAAAAAGCAAAACAAGAGCTGGTGAAGATTGTGGAGAATTCGGAATGCTTGGGAGTGTTGGTTGAGATGGAAAATGGTACCAGCTGCTATGGGAAACAGGA